CCCCAAAACCCCAAAACCCCAAAACCCCAAAACCCCACTTTAATTTAAAATATAATTTAATTGTGCGATGAAAAGGATAAACAGGCCTGTGGTCAGTATTCCGAGGCAAGATATTCCTCAAAGTAGAAGAAGGAGTGCTAGAATTACTGGTTCAAGCACTTGAAAATAATATTAGAGCTACAAAAGATTGGAAGGATAGATTCTTCTGATTCAGAAAAGAGAAACCTTTTAACGATACAACTCCAAGAGGTAGTTATTCCACTTGTAAATCAAACAAATGGAAAGTTTCATCTAGTACTGATATTATGAGACAAGCTAGAGGCATACAATCTTTCCTCTCCTCAATGAATAAGTCAAGATCTGTAAGGAAGGGCCGTAGCAAAGAAACCAATATCTCAATGCCAAAAACAAAAGAGAAAGGCTTCCTTGTTACTGAAGAACATCAAAGAAAAGCAAGTGATAAGAGGTCAATTAAAGTCAGAAATATTTTGAGATCAAAGTTGACTTATGAACAAAATAATATTATCCAAGCAGTGATCAAGAACAATTTTACATATCTTAAAAGAGTTCGAGATAAAAGAGATCAGAAAGACTTCAGTGTTCATGATAAAAAAGGAAACTGAGCCCTTTACTATGCAGTAAGTCAACAGCATTTTAAATAATACTAACTCTGACCTAGATTAAAGAAGACTGCTATGAAGCTGCAGAATACCTAATAAATAAGAGTAAACCCTATTCTCAGATTATAGTTGGATGAGATGTCAATGTTAAAAATGAAAATGGCAACACCTGTCTCCACCAAGCAATGATGAGGGACAACATTGACATTATTTTACTTCTACTTAAGAGTGGGGCTAATCCAGAGGCTTTTAACAAATTCAATGAGACTCCTATATTCTATGCCTCCAATAGGGTGTTATCCAAATTTGGGTTACGGAATAAAAAGGCATGCTTGCTTAAAGATTTCAAAGGATTCCCTAGTAAGGAAAAGCAGCAAAATCACAAGAGAATACGGGTAAACCTCCGTCCCAAGAGAAACGAGTAATAACGTTTGGATTACCTTTAGTAAGCAAAAATAGAATACATCAGCTTCAAATTGAAAGAGAAATGAGCCAAGAGATCAAAGATCTTCAAAAACGAACAATCAAGATCATGCCGACTGAAACAGAGTCAAAATTTGGAAGACATTATAGCCAAGTGAGCCCATCCGATGTCCAAGGAATTAACTTAAAGTTTACACCTCAAAATAAAAGAAACGAATTGAAAGGTATTTTGCATTATATAGTATAATTATAGAAAAACCAAAGACTTTAAAGAAAAAGAAGACAATTAAGAGGACTCTTATATCTAGAGCCATTTCAAAAACTGCAAGGAAAGGACCAGAGCCACTAGGAGGCCCGAATCATGGAGATTTCTCATCTTTATGACCCAACGAAAGATATGCTATAAAAGATAGTTCTCCTCTATATCCTCAAGAAGTGTATTTTGATATATAGTTTTCAATAATATCATTTAATATTGGGGTTTTGGGGTTTTGGGGTTTTGGGGTTTTGGGGTTTTGGGG